TTACAAAGAAATATCGTATACTGTTATTTGTTAAAGAGTGCAAAAGATTAAAACTAATATCGCAACAAAATCCACTCCTACATAGGAATCGAAATTTTCTCCAGGTTGTATGTAACTCTTAATCTCTTAACTATCGTGGGGATTTTTTTTGTTTTGTAACGTTGCATCAGCAATATTCCAACTTTATGACCGTAGTCTGTAAATAATCGAGTCTGGACCTCATAAACAAGTGACATCATGAGCATCAGCCTGCGCAATGTGTCAGCTTAATCGGCATTCGCCCTTTACAACGAGCATGAGTTGCTGAAGACCAATCCAAGAAGCAGGATGATAAATGGGTTGAGTTAAACTACGTTTTTAACGTACTGGACTTTGTGAGTGAGTGAGTTTAGTTGTACGCCGCACTCAGCAATATTCCAACTATATGACGGCGGTCTGTAAATAATCGAGTCTGGACCAGACAATCCTGTGTTCAGCAGCATAAGCATCGATCTGCGCAATTGGGAACCGGTGACATGTGTCAACCAAGTCAGCGAGCCTGACCACCCGATCCCGTTACTCGCCTCGTACGACTAGCATCGGTTACTGAAGATCAATATTCTAACCCGGACTTTCACGGGTAGATCTGGATTTTGTAGTCCCTTTCTCTTGCTGTATATGCATCCTCCACATGCTATATATAAGTCAGTGATGCCGTTTCCGTTATAACGGTATTTTCCTCCGTGTTAAAAATGCCTGTGGACAGCTGTTCATCCAATTTAATGAAAGACAGTCGAGGTGGCTAATAGATACCAGAGGATACCATTAGTGCGATGTCATGCTTGCACGCATCGGGGATTCTTGACCATCAGCAAGGGGTCAGTTCTATGTCCATTCTTGCAAATGAGGCTTGAAAATTCCTAGTAGACAGCAGGTATTTTCATGAAGCCAGAATGTTGGGAGGTAATGGGTTGAGACTGAAAAGTGATAAACAGATTGCCGGCTAGCAGCATGTCACTTAGATTAGGGCGATGTATCACGCTAGGCGCGTGTTTGGTGGAGAGGGAATTCGTGTCTGTTAAATCTGTCAGGATTGGCCAAAGCTGGACCAAAGCCGGATATATCAACACTCCGGTTTAAAATTAACGGAAACGTCAAGGTAACATTAGTCTGTCTCATAGTCCCTGGATGACCATATTTTCCCTAATGCCTAGCCCTCCCTGCAATGCTAACTCCCTAAAGGAAGCAAGTCTAGATTTCCTCAGGTTCTGTATCTCATATCTCACTGGGGTTCCTTTTCAATATAAATAATTCAATATAATTTCTTACTTCCAAAATTATATGTATTCAGAGACTAAGCGTTAGTATAAGGTCACGTTAATCGTGTATACAAAGATATATGAGCTGATTCTCCGTCAGGCTTGGAAATGTGTCAAAAGCAATGATTATTAATTAGTATAAATCATACTTAGTGCACTACAGAAACACAAAAATCAGGTTGTTCCTAGAAAAGACTGGCGCACTGCCCGCTGATGTAGACTTGCCTGCTATAGGAATGGCGCTATTATTCATCCAGAACATATCATTCAGCACATCCTTGGTGCAAGGCTTGCTCGTTTTCACCTATAAAACCATTATTGTACCATCAGCATATTGTAGTACAATCATATACAGAAATTCCATCTAGTTGTTAACGGTTGAAGACCTTTAAGCTTCAACTGTGCGAACCCTGTTGCGATACATGTAGCGAAGGTAATCTAATCATGCTGTATCTTGACGTATAAACCACAACATGTGCAGTTGTCATTAATTACCCCAAAATGTTTACGGTTATCTTGGCTGAGTTGGTTTAGCGTTTTTCAACGTTTTCCTGTCCCTGGGCACCAGCGATGGGCTTCAGTTAGTCTGTCTCACAGTCCCTGAACCACTTTATTTTTCCCCCTGCCAAGCCCTCTCTGCAGTGCTCAAGCCCCAAATAAAGCAAGTCTAGATTTCCCCAGGTTCTGAATCTCTGGTCTACCTAGGTCTCCTTTTCAATTAAAATGGGCTTGTTTGTTACTATCAAAATTATATATATTCAGAGACTAAGCCTTAGTTTAGGCTTCAGTCATTGTACCCAGTTCTAGAATTACAAGCTGGAACGTGTTCAGTGTCAGTCCTTTTCTGTCGATCCCTACCTACTGACTGTAGACAGGCCTTAATGCCTGGTATCTGTCCCTACTGTCTATTGTTAGTGCCTACTGACTGTAGACAGGCCTTAATGCCTGGTATCTGTCCCTACTGTCTTTTGTCAGTGCCTACTGACTGTAGACAGGCCTTAATGCCTGGTATCTATCCCTACTGTCTATTGTCAGTGCCTACTGACTGTAGACAGGCCTTACTGCCTGGTATCTGTCCCTACTATCTATCGTCAGTACCTACTGACTGTAGACAGGCCTAACTGCCTGGTATCTGTCCCTACTGTCTATTGTCAGTGCCTACTGACTGTAGACAGGCCTTACTGCCTGGTATCTGTCCCTACTATCTATTGTCAGTGCTTACTGACTGTAGACAGGCCTTACCGTTACTGTGTACACAAATAGGACCCATGAAGACGCGAGTTAGAATTGGTCTTCAGCAACCCATGCTTGTTATAAAAGGCGACTAACGGGATCGGGTATCCAGACTGGCTGAGTTGGTTTGCACATATCGTCCATATTGATGATAATGCTGTTTGTCACTGGACTGTCTGGTCCAGGCTGGATTATTCACAGACAACCGCCATATAGCTGTAATATTGCTGAGTGCGGCGTTAAACAAAAAAACAACCAACAAGAATCAGCATGGAGGTAAAGACTTTAACTGGAACATAGTCTCGAAACATCAACATCTTCCTTTTGTATGTTCCTTACTTGTGTTTGCATCTGGAAATGATATTTCCTGGAAACTACTTTCAGCAAAGTCTTTACATTGGTAATTGTACCCAGAAATGTGCATTGAGCTTCTGAAAGGACTGATAGAGTTGCTGACGTTGCATGAAATCGCTTGAAATTCTGCCACTGCAACATATGGTTGTTAAATGGTCGGGTTGAGACTAGAGAAAGACCTTTCGGATCTAATAAGCCAAAAGCAAAAATAAACACCTTTATTCTCTGGCAATTCCGCCACGGCTTTTTCGCTAATTATCCAACAACATAGTCATCTTCTCGCCAGCTTTAGTGATTTCTGCTTCATCCCAACCACTTTAGAACATATTTTATCTATCATTCTCTTGACGTCACTTGACTAGACTAACTAGCGACACTCATGCTTTATATGGGAAGGAATGTTTGTTCGCACTAAAGATTCCTTGCCTTTCGAATGCGTTCTTTCTTTCAAGTGTTAGAAGGCAACGGATAATTGTAGCGATGTTTCCAACTCGCAAATTTCCCTGCAGTAGCTCGTTCACGATAAGTCTAGGGTTTTACAGTATCACGTGATGGGTAATGACTCCACTCTGCTGAGCGCTACCTAACGTCAAAGAAAAAACGGCTTCGCCACAGGAGGCGCTGATAGCAAAGAAAGTTGTATCAGAGGTATTGCAATTTCAGATTAGGAAAACTGAAATCATAACTGCATATCGATAATGATTATCGAAATATGATTTTTCGACACAGTGATTCATAGTATAGTGATTTATACAGATACGTTCATGAACCGATCTCGTGTAATGAACTCTTCTTTTTGGACAGATTTCCTGTGATTAGGGAAGTGACTTTGTCGTTTATGTTTATATATTTCCACAGACTATTGGTGAAATTTCGTCTGTGATTTGGTTCCTTGCCGGTCTTATCATTTAGGAATGTGTCTCGTTGCGGTGTATGTTATTTGGAAGATTTTGCTAAGGAAACAGAATAGCATCAAATGAACCTTATGAACTTTATGACCCGTGAAGTTCCGGTTTAGAATTGATCTTCAGTAACCCATGCTTGTAGTAAGAGGTGACTAACGAGATCGGGTGGTCGGGCTCGCTGACTGGGTTGATACATGTCATCGTATCCCAGTTGCGTAGATCGATGTTCATGCTGTTGATCTCTGGATCTCTGGTCCACACTCGATTATTTACAGACCGCCGCCATATAGCTGGAATAGTGCTGAGTGCGGCGTAAAATAAACTCACTCACTCACTTTCTGTGACACGCATCACGCGGGTGTCTGATCTTTGACCGAGTTGTGGAGATTTAACGTAGGTAATTCTAGAACATGGAGTCACGTAGTGTGATTGTTGTGTAGGCCACTTTAAACACTTTATCTGGGACCACTGCGGATTGAGGTATGAAGGACTGACCCTTGTTGTAATATTAACAGTGGAAACCACGAGCATGTGTACCATGCTGACAAAGAAAGATTCACAAACAGGCTGAACTGTGATTTGACTGTTAACCTTCTGCAAACAAGACTGAGCGATGCAACAGAGCTCAAGTGAAATCCTCTTATGATATTAACTATTTCTATTATAATACAAAGTTGACTAAATCGTATTTAATCATGAAACTACACGTGGACATCTGGAAAAGATTCCGTTGATGGCACATTTGCCCAACCATGTTCCTCATGATAGGTTTCTCACATTGTACCCATGTGGGGAATTGAACCCGGACCTTCGCTGTGACGAGCAAACACTTTAACCACAAGTCTATCCCACCGACCCCTAGGTACTAGAGATCACTGTTTACAAAATATCCAGAAACTTTCAAATCAGTTTGGTGTCACCACCACCAGGCTGACAAAAAGGCACGGTCTTCTGAATATTTGCTTTCAAACAGATCAGCAAAAAAAATAATCGGAGTCGTAGGGATATTCATTTTTCAGCATTGTACCTTAATTCGACCGATTTCTTGCAGGCACGATTGTTTCTTTGTCTAATAATAAGGCAGAACAGATGTCATCTACGGCAGTTCAGAAGCCACGTGGCATACATGTACAGGGCGATTCTACGGTGTAGATGTCGAATGATTTTACCTTGAAATCAAGTTCCTTAACATTTATTCTTCCTGTTTTAGATTGATGCCGCATTCGACCCGGTTGAAGGCAGGAAATGTTTGGAGTGGATCAGAGAACTTACTGGCGAGAATTTCGTCACAGACGCGGGCCCCGAGAAATATAGAGTAGTGGAGAACTTCTATAAAGTGCTTCGCGATGGATTCTTACTCTGCAAGTATGTAATTAAATACTGCAGGACTACTATCTGTATGACTGCATTGACTGTATGACAGCTTGGTTTGTTGTTTAACGCCGCACTCAGCAACATTCCAACTATATGGTGGTGGTCTGTAAATAATTGAGTCTGGACTAGACAAATCAGTGATCCACATCATGAGCATCGATCTACGCAACTGGGATACGATGACATGTGTCAACCAAGTCAGCGAGCCTGACCACCCGATCCCGTTAGTCGCCTCTTACTACAAGCATCGGTTGCTGAAGATCAATTCTAACCTGGATCTTCACGGGTCGAATGCGTACACAAAGTCAATGGTATCAGAGACTAAAAGTCAAATTTCTGTCATGTATATCACCGTGTCGAGATTAACCATCATGTCTTGTTAAAACTATAAATCAGCCAGACAAATTTGACAAAAACAAAAACATGTAATACAATTCACAGTTATGTTCTAAAATTACCTTTTGTGAAACTCAGAATGCGCTGGAATATTGCGGCTGCTATCGAAGCCCCCAAGATGCTCATGGTCTGATCTTGACGCGATTGATAACAGACCGCTGCCATTTTTCTGGAATTAGTGCTGAGTGCTGCGTTAAACAACTACAAATTAAACAAACAAAGTTGCAGACAACTGTAGACATAATGTAATGTAAATCGTGAGTTTGAAACATAAATATTAAGGGATATTCATACGGCCGATTCCGATGTGCATCATGTAAATAAACTCTTCAAAAGAAAGAAACGCATAGGCGTTTTCAGCAGTTCATTTCGATATATTGTGACAGCAATCGTTATTAAGACAATTTCTATGAATCCCGTTCGCCATGTGCTGATAGTTGTGTGTTTCACGCAAACGCATCCCAAAATGTGTTTGTAAACGTTTGTCATAAAAAGAAAAACAATACATGAAAAGTGCATGCAGAAAAAGTTTTCCACATAATGCACTTGCAGTGTAACGGAAACATGAGTAGGGACATCGATTATAAAAGGCCAAACCATTCATTAATTCATTACGAAATTTACGACGTAAACGAAGATAACGTATGCCAAGATTGAATGCTACTGACCAAAATACCGCCATTGGACGTATGGAAGCACGTCGGATCGGATCTGCCGTCACAAAACACTTCAACATCAACCAGAGCACGATATCGCGATTATGACATCGATATACCCGTTTCATATCGAGCCAAGTTGTCCCAGAGGTGGAAAACAAAGAGTGACCACTCCTGCTCTGATAAGTGTTAATGGGCACGGCTCCTACGGCCGAAAGCTATGAAATAGACAATGACATTTTAGAAAGTTGTCAAACGTAACGTATGTTGTATTATGGGATTACACTTTCTTAGTAAAGTACAGATTCTAGTAGTTTAAGAAAATAAGGAAATGTACATAAAGTCCGCAGTCTATACTACCAGTTGTCCGACTTCCATTTTTGTGGAAGCCGCGGTGGCTGAGCGGTCGAGGCGTCTGACTTTGTGTGCTGGCGATTAGGTGCCTGACTCTAAGGGTGTGGGTTCGAATCCCGGATGGGACTCAACCCCCCCAAAAGTACTAGAATCCGTACTTTACTAAGAAAGTGTAATCCCAAATATAACATACGTTACGTTTAACCACTTTCTAATATGGCATTGTGTATTTCACAATCTAGTACATACAAGTGGACAAAAGACGAGGGATTTTATTATATAGATTATAAATATATACAAGTATTCATCAAACAGGCAAATACACATGACAAGGCACTTGAAATTTGTTATTGACAGCCATTGGCAATTCATACATTTATTTGCTATGCTATAACTGAAATAGCGTTGATATCATATACATGTATTTTCAATTTCATAATTATAGTGTCAAAAAATCTAGACCCAAATATATTCATGTATATATTCGTATTTCAAAATTTCCATTAAACATGGGTTCGGTATTTCTCTGGTTGCGGCATAAAACGCACGGTTCCTAATTACGATGTAGCAAAATATATGCTATCTTCGTTTCCTTAGAATATTTGCATGACTTTGCTAGTTACGATGGAGGGAGATATGTGCTGTGTGTAGGTTTGGGCAGCATGCTATGAGCGCTTGCAGACAAATAGACAGAAGTCAAGTTTAAGAAATTCGTACCTCCACCTTAGTTAAGATCCCAATCTCAAATCCATGTTGTCGTACATTCGCGGAGAAAGACAATTGTATTGCCGTATGGTGATGATAAAGGTGACTGAACTGTACAAGATCGATTGTAATTGTTAATACTCTGCGCTAATGGCCGATGTACCTTTGCTGATTTTGGTCTTTCCTCAAGGTCAAACCTATGTCTTCGAGCAGAGACTTGTTATTCCTTCTCGGGACAAGGGTATACATGTATGGACACTCTAACGTGGATATGAAAACACGCATAATACCTTAGCCCAAGGAAAACAATTTAAATGATGCCACATGAATATCCAAATTATTTGTAGTAAGTATGTATTTAATTTTTAGCCAATTCTTTCATTTCTTCCAGGGTACTGAATGTTGTCGTGCCTGATCATTTGAAGTGCAACTTCAACGCACCAACGTTTAGACCTTCAGCGAACCCTCAGTTCCAAGCGGCAAGAGATAGGGAAAGAATTGAACTATTTAACAGAAAACTGGAGGATTTCGGGGTCTCACCAGACAACTGCTTCTTAGTGGACTGCCTTTATGAGAGAACCAACCTTTGGCAGGTGGCTGCCAGCATCAGGGCATTAGGAACAGAGGTACACATTTCTTTTTGTCAAATCTAATACAGGGAGTATAAGTCACGAACTAGTCTTGATTTTCCAAAAACTTCCCGATTACGCTGTACTCCCAGGCTTAATGTAACATCACTGCTCTGTACTGAATTTTAAAAACAAATGACTGTAACACCATTATACGACTGTATATTAAGTACATTGCCACATAAAGACAAGAGGGGCGGTGGGGTAGCCTAGTGGTTAAACCGTTCGCTTCTCACACCGAAGACCCGAGTTCTATTCCCCACATGGGTACAGTGTGTGAAGCCCATTTCCGGTGTCCCCTGTCGTGATATTGCTTGGATATTGCTAAATGCGGCTTAAAACCCAACTCACTCACTCACTCATCAGATTGTTCATTTGCCACATAAAGACAAAAGGGGTGGTGGGGTAGCCTAGTGGTTAAACCGTTCGCTTCTCACACCGAAGACCCGAGTTCGATTCCCTACATGGGTACAGTGTGTGAAGCCCATTTCCGGTGTCCCCTGTCGTGATATTGCTTGGATATTGCTAAATGCGGCTTAAAACCCAACTCACTCACTCACTCATCAGATTGTTCATTTTACAGAAACATTATTTTTTTCATGAATTGTTTGCTTGTTATTTTCAGTTCGAGTCCCGCCCATCTTTCACCGGCATGCGATGGTGGCCCCGCAAAGCAGAAGCGAACCCAAGGAATTTCTCAGAAGAGGTTCTCAATGCTGGAAATACTATCATCAACCTTCAATACGGCTCCAATAAGGGTGCCTCTGCCAAGGGCATGACCTTTGGCAAGAAGCGGATGATCATGAAGGAATGACGTCACAGACCTCACATGTGGCGTAGAATTTCAGTTATTTCGATTTAGGTGTCTTTCTTTTCAAAGTGATCTGTTCGTTTAAGTGTTGCTCCGAAGTCTGTGGACAGCTTGCAAGCAAGATGATAAGGTCATGATGAATATATTGAAATATTTGGCCATGAAAAGGCATTTCTAGGGGGGTTAAAACCTTTTGGCAAAACTTTCATCAATTCACTGCTTGTCGGTAGTGTCCTAAAAAAATATGAAGGCTGCATTGTTTCGTTGGATCGTAAGCTCATAGGATTATGACATCATCAAGGAATTAAATCTCCGTTTGTAACAGGGACTAAGCAACTCAGCATGGGGAAATGATTTCGGTTTTACGGAGCATAGGCGTTTGTGTCTATGCTCAGGGAGTAGGCCGTATTGCCTTATCTGGAACTTTGATTCGGTGTTCTAATTAGCACGGCAACAGAAGAAGAAAATTATATCTCAAACCGTCACTGCCGACACAAAAGACCTTCATTTTATAAGATTTAGATAACAAACATTACCTGGTGTAGATTTTCCTTTGTAATAATTTCGTTTCCTTATTCCGTCCATCTCACTGCCCACTGCACAGAACCCCTGATTGGTGGCCGAAAACGAGGCTACAGCCAGAATCCTTGACAACACTGCCAGTCCGTTAGTTATAGAAGTGACGCCATCAACACTTTTCGAAACGTCATGAACAACTCTACCTTCAATCCCAGTTACTGCCTTTGTGTTGCTCACAAGCGGCCTCTTGTACACTTGTCAATATTATTTTGTAATAAATGAAAGTTTATTTATACTTCATGAAAGAGCTATATATGTTATATTCGTTTGTGCGTTCTCACAATTTTCGCAACAAAGAACTACATCATACATTCAATACACTACACTTATAACAATCTCTGGATATATGGAACTGTTTTTAAGGGATCTGCCATTTGTTGCATGTTAATTTAAAATACTTTTAACGAACTTATATCAGCGGTCCCCTCGAGTTCGTTATAACTGAGGAGCAGTGGGGTAGCCCGGTGATTATGTGTTGGCTCGTCACGCCGAAGACCCGGGTTCGATTCCCTACATGGGTACAATGTGTGAGGCCCATCTATGGTGTTCTCCGCCGTGATAATGCTTGAATATTGCTAAAAGACAGCTTAAAAATCGTACTCACTCTCTCGCTTCAGTGCTGGAATGTACATACCGGCAAGGTATTTTCATTTTTCTGTACTGAAACTGTCCGCAGCTCAAAAAAATGTACTCAGCAGACATTCAATAATTCAGAACCCATTACCGAGCTCGACACAAAGGAGTATCATATATTATTATAAACTAAATTATTTGTTATTGTTTTACGCCGCACTCAGCAATATTCCAGCTATATGACGGCGGTCTGTAAATAATCGTGTCTGGACTAGACAATCCAGTGATCTACAGTAAGAGCATCGATCTACGCGATGGGGATACGATGACATGTGTCAACCACCACGCCTGGCCCACCCGATCCAGTTCGTCGCCTCTTACGACAAGCATGGGTTACTGAAGATCCAATATTACCTGCATCTCCATGGTTACAGTATCATTGTAACTATTAACAAACAAACGTTGGTCCCGTTGCAGATCGCTTAAGTGATCATAACACCCACGCTTTAAAACAGACTTGCGACAGTCGTAACTCTATGACCACTGTTTTGAACTAGGGTCCTGGTCCCCGTTCCTCAAAGCGATCGTAGCGCTACGACAGTCGTAACTCCCATACTTTAAAATAGAGTTACGACTGTCGTAGCGCTACGATCGCTTTGAGGAACGGACTGGTTCTAGATTGATCTCGAAGCTCTCTTAGCGCTAAGATAGTCGTAAGTGCCATTCATTAACATTAACTTACGACTATCTTAGCGCTAAGAGAGCTTCGAAAATCTAGGCCCAGGTGTCAATCCCGTATCAGAGGAACTAATTTACATGACAAACGTATTATAGCATTCACATCTTTTAGTCGAAATTGTACAGTCGAGAACTGATCTTGTTCGGGGAGTGAAAAGCTTTTGTCGCTTCTATTTGAAACACCACTACAACATTCGTTATATGTCAGGCGGCGGTTGTAAACAGGACAGAGGCTGCGGTCAGGGTCTAGGATAACTTCATCTGCATGTTTCTGTAAATATTGTGTTACAGCATTCTCATTTTGGAAATTTGGAATTACAATATAGGCAAACTTTATGGATAACAACTTGTTTTGACAACGGTACAAGAATCTGTAATGTCGCACTCACGACATGAAGACAGTTGTATCCCATAAAGTTTGATCATATTCTCATGTACATTGCTCGTATATTCACACAACGTCATACATGTTACATATTGCTAGTCTGCGATGAATCGGTTTGCAAACGGCTGAGACTGATAGAACAGGAGAATTAAAGACATCATGGGAACTGATAGAACAAGGGTAAACAGGACGGGTGGGCACTGGAACTGATAGTACAAGGGTAAACAGGACGGGGTGGGCACATGAATTGATTGAACAAGGGTAAACAGGACGGGTAGGCACTGGAACTGATAGAACAAGGGTAACTAGGGCGGAGTGGGCACATGAATTGATTGAACAAGAGTAAACAGGACGGGGTGGGCACTGGAATTGATAGAACAAGGGTAAAGAGGACGGAGTGGGCACATGAACTGATTGAACAAGGGTAAACAGGACGGGGTGGGCACAGGAACTGATAGAACAAAGGTGAACAGGACGGGGTGGGCACTGGAACTGATAGAACAAGGGTAAACAGGACGGAGTGGGCACATGAATTGATTGAACAAGGGTAAACAGGACGGGGTGGGCACAGGAACTGATAGAACAAAGGTAAACAGGACGGTGTGGGCACTGGAACTGATAGAACAAGGGTAAACAGGACGGAGTGGGCACATGAATTGATTGAACAAGGGTAAACAGGACGGGGCGGGCACATGAACTGATAGAACAAGGGTAAACATAACGGGGTGGACACAGGAACTGATAGTACAAGGGTAAACAGGACGGGTGGGAACTGGAACTGACAGAACAAGAGTTAACAGGGCGGAGTGGCCACTGGAACTGATAGAACAAGGGTAAACAAGACGGGTAGGCACTGGAACTGATAGAACAAGGGTAACTAGGGCGGAGTGGGCACATGAATTGATTGAACAAGAGTAAACAGGACGGGGTGGGCACTGGAATTGATAGAACAAGGGTAAAGAGGACGGAGTGGGCACATGAACTGATTGAACAAGGGTAAACAGGACGGGGTGGGCACAGGAACTGATAGAACAAAGGTGAACAGGACGGGGTGGGCACTGGAACTGATAGAACAAGGGTAAACAGGACGGAGTGGGCACATGAATTGATTGAACAAGGGTAAACAGGACGGGGTGGGCACAGGAACTGATAGAACAAAGGTAAACAGGACGGTGTGGGCACTGGAACTGATAGAACAAGGGTAAACAGGACGGAGTGGGCACATGAATTGATTGAACAAGGGTAAACAGGACGGGGCGGGCACATGAACTGATAGAACAAGGGTAAACATAACGGGGTGGACACAGGAACTGATAGTACAAGGGTAAACAGGACGGGTGGGAACTGGAACTGACAGAACAAGAGTTAACAGGGCGGAGTGGCCACTGGAACTGATAGAACAAGGGTAAACAAGACGGATGGACACTGGAACTGATAGAACAAGGGTTAACAGGGCGGAGTGGCCACTGGAACTGATAGAACAAGGGTAAACAGGACGGGGTGGGCACAGCAACTGATAAAACAACAGTAAACAGGACAGGGTGGTCACGGGAACTGATAGGACAAGGGTAAACAGGACGGGGTGGACACATGAATTGATAGAACAAGGGTAAACAGGACGGTGTGGGCACTGGAACTGATAGAACAAGGGTAAACAGCATGGGGTGGGCACAGGAATTGATGGAACAAGGGTAAACAGGACGGGGTGGGAACCGGAACTGATAGAACAATGGGAAACAGGACGGGGTGGGCACAGGAATTGATAGAACAAGAGTAAACATGACGGGTGGGCACTGGAACTGATAGAACAAGAGTAAACAGGACGGGGTGGGCACAGGAACTGATAGAACAAGAGTAAACAGGACGGGGTGGGAACCGGAACTGGTAGAACAATGGGAAACAGGACGGGGTGGGCACAGGAACTGATAGAACAAGAGTAAACAGGACGGGTGGGCACTGGAACTGATAGAACAAGAGTAAACAGGACGGGGTGGGCACAGGAACTGATAGAACAAGGGTAAACAGGACGGGGTGGGCACTGGAACTGATAGAACAAAGGTAAACAGGACGGGGTGGGCACAGGAACTGATAGAACAAGGGTAAACAGGACGGGGTGGGCACAGAAATTGATAGATAAAGGATAAACAGGACGGGGTGGGCACCGGAACTAATAGAACAAAGGTGAACAAGTCGGGGTGGGCACTGGAACTGATAGAACAAGGTTAGATAGAGCGGGTGGACACTTGAACTGATAAAACAAGTGTAAAAGGACGGAGTTGACACGGGAACTGATAGAACAAGGGTAAGCAGGACGGGCTGGGCACTGGAACTGATAGAACAAGGGTAAATAGGACGGGGTGGGCTCAGGAATTGATTGAACAAGGGTAAACAGGACGATGTGGTCACTGGAACTGATAGAACAAGGGTAAACAGGACGGGGTGGGCTCAGGAATTGATTGAACAAGGGCACATAGGACGGTGTGGGCACTGGAACTGATAGAACAAGGATAATGAGGACGGTATGGGCACTGGAACTGATAGAACAAGGGTTAAAAGAGCCAAAGTGGTCATGTGAAAATGCTATTTTGGAAGGATGGGCAGACACAGGATGGCCTTGGACCTTGGGAACTGGTAGTAATTGGGTACACCTGATCGAACGGTCAGGGAACTGATATAAAAGGGTAAAAAAGGGACAGTGAACACTAAACGCTTGTGATTTGTAATATTATTTCAGTAAAATTGATTCGTGTTGGTCTTATCATTACGTGAGTAACAGACATTTGCCGTTTGAGTGAAACACACGAGGATTGCTCGTAAACAATGAATCAGCTTCAGAGATAATCGGCGATTCGACTTTATGATAGACGTATTGGTGCAAGGGACGTAACCCTGTATAGCTTAATGCGGCAACCCTGACATTTGGGACCACCCAAACACGATTTGACAGAATAAGGTCGTGTTGCTGTTGTCGACGCTAAAGATTGAAAACAGTGAAAGAGGTATGTTGTTTTTCCCCGCCAATATGTTATACCTACAGTACATGTCGAGTCATAGAACTCGACTTCAGGATCACAACCCAGGGCCGAGGTACGAGGCAGGAGCGCAGCCACTATTAATAGTGACCTACATGTATTTGTGCTATAGGCTCTCCCCAGCCAAGTGACCATAGTAACCATGGGTGCAGGCATGATTAGCTCAATGGTACGCGAGACATTGAAAGATGGAGGCATTGTCTGTCTGTGATTGAGCAATCACTAAAGACTGAATGGATTAAGTTGACGGACTGATAAAACTACAACGTGACTGACAGTTAGCTGGAGATGTGACTGCTCTTCATTTCAAGGGAAAGTATGTCGATCGTTCCACTCCACAAGTGTTCATACAATATAAGCATGACTGTTTGTTCCTATTTCTGAAATTGTTTGAGGGAATCCTTGAAATGAATTAGATTTTACATTGAAAGATAAACTTTATTAGCTAATGTCTGGGGTCTGTTGTTTTGAGAGTACATGTACGCAAGATAATCACAGTGTGGTGAACCTTCACGGCTGTATCTATATGTCACTTGCCTATCAGTCTTATCACAAGTGTTATATGGTATAAATATGAACCGTATAAGCAACCTACATGTATGAGGTATTGAATAAATATATCAAACGTCATACTAGTGCATTTGGATGTTACAAAACATCCTAATGCACTAGTATGACGTTCTGTATTTATTCTACACCCTGTTATCTTGCATTAATCTGTTACTTAAATATATAGCTATAGAACCGCAGGGCTTCATGCAATACGGAATCTGGGGTTTAATAGGGAATTTGACCACGTCATCCGTATTGCACCCCTGTACTACTATCCTAAGTTTACATGGGTATAAAATAAATGTGTTTATTCATCTAGGTATATGTACTGCCATGCCAGTTACATCTATCCCTTTGTCAGGCTGCTGAAGTTCAGACGTGTTGATCAGCCCCTGAATCACCTGATGTAACAGCATCTGCACATCTGTGGGCGCAGTGTATTTGCAAATGAACATTGTATTTACACGCATATTTATAAGATAAATGCATTAATGACAATTGATTTGTCATTACAGTTGTTGTTATCATATTCGACCCGTGAAGATCCGGGTTAGAATCGGTCTGCAGCAACCCATGCTTGTCGTAAGAGGCGAGTATCGGGATCGGGTGGTCTGGCTCGCTGATTTGGTTGACGCATGTCTTCGTATCCCAATTGCGTAGGTCGATGCTTATGTTGTTGATCACTGGATTGTCTGGTCCAGAATCTGTTATTTACAGACCGCCGCCGTATTGCTGGAATATTGCTGAGTTCGACGTAAAAGTAAACTCACTCACTCACTATTATTATATTCATGTATAGTTTTCATGCTATGAACTTAAATACACACTGGCTATTAGTATTTGAGTAATTAGAAGCAGCCTTCGTGCAATGAACACAAAAATTTCATTCGTGAAAATAAGTATTATCCCTGACTGCTCAGCAAACATAACATTACACGACCAAACCTACAACATGAAGCTTCAAATAAACAAACCGCTCTAACCCGTATCAAATACATCCCCATCGTATAACGTCTTGTTTCAAACAACTGTTCATAACTTTTTTTGCTAGGCATGTTATAACTAGTTTGTCATGTCAGACTCATGAATAGAATTGCATGATAAAAAATGCCTGCTTACCTGCCTTACCCATTTCAAGTCGATAGATAACAAGTCAAAAGTAAAGGCTCTGCTCACATGGGCAAACCAGTATCTATATACCCGACAAGAGAATCTTGTGCAATCAACGGACGCATGTGACGGAGAAAGTGCAGTGCTATACAAGTTGTTTGCAAGCGAAATAGGTCACGCCGGATTGATACAAGAAGAACGCGGATTCTTTAACAGGTCTGTTGTATGCGTCGAGATTGATTTAGTTGGGCAGATGTAATGGTATAATGTATTATTTGTGGGTTATTGCTATGATATCCCAACACCAGTGTTGATATTGGGTGAATGCGGTGACCTTATTTACGTGAACTATTACAGTTGTTAGTGTTGCTAGCCCGGCTACTGTTTCCTAAAACCATTATGCACTGGTATAACCAATCGATATTATGTAATGGGCTCATACAAGCATTATATAACGTGTTATACTATATTACACGTGTGTTTGGGTTGGAATGTAATGACATCTGCCTTGTTGACATGATCATGTTACGTAATCTTTTAAAAAGACGTTTCAGAAGATAAATATATATATTTATATACCTTTCCAGGTCTTGAAGAACCCGCTGTCATAAGTCGTCGAACTACGAAGTCTTATGTATCTGTAAAGAACAAAAATGTTCAGTAAACATGTAATTATATATAGCAGTCGCCCTCTGGTGTAGACATTGACCTGCTTTCAAGCTGAATCTGTCCTTGTGTATGGACAAGTTCATGGGCCGTGTTCACATTGGAAAGGTTGTTACTTTGTGGAGAGATTCCACATTTGCTAAATTCATTTGTACGTGCGTGTTCGAGTCAGTTAGTTTGTACGTGTGCATGAGCGAATGCATGTGTTTTGTCTATTTTGTGTTTGTCTATTATATCTCCGTTTTAAAACGCCACATATGGATAAGTGCATATGTACTGATTGACCTGACCGGCTATCAGAGTGACTGGACAGTTTGTTCGTTTGTCTGTTTTGAATGGAGACGGGTATATATGTGGCCCTGTGTTTATTGTTTGTATTTTATGTACTTCATATAGACAGATGCATATGCACTGACTTACATATCATTTGGCTGAAGTTGAGTTTGTACACATATTTGTTCTGTTTGTTATGTCTCCAGGTAGACAAGTGCACACGCACTGACTTAAAGGATCACTAGTCTCAAAATCAAGAGTGGCCGAGTATAGTTTTACGCCCCTTTTAGCAATATTCCAGAAATACCACGGCGGGGATACCACAAATGGGCTTCACACATTGTACCCATGTGGAATCGAAACCGGGTCTTCGGCGTGACGAGCGAACGCTTTAACCACTAGGCTACCCCACCACCCCTCAAGATCAGAATGGAATCATGTTTTCACTAGTTATTTTAATTTGGGGTCTGCTACTGACCAGCTTCTTAATGTTCATCGCTACACGCTCCAGTATTTGACCGCTGTCGTCAGTCATCGCAATCTAACGCACAGTGAGATATGGTGTTCGGTAGGGTACTGGTAGTTTTAGCTAATTTTTTTATCCGTCAGCCGTAATACCAAACAGTGGGTGTTGATAATCGGCTCTCTGTGTTAATAAGCCTCCATTACACGACCGAGGACCCCAGGGGTATGTTTCAACTGCTTATCTATCGCCATGCTGGAAACCGAACCAAGACTCATCTATACTAGCGAGCGTTTTAATCACTAAGTATAAGTGACATGAGGTTAATGCCGTTTGTGGACAATACTCAAGTTATTTCAAGGCAAAATATTCTTTTAATAGTAATTATCATATGTCATAAAATAAATAGCTTTTGTGCAAAGTTAATATTATCCAATTACCTATACTTCTTGTTTACATTTAACAGCCTTCATTTGAGTCATTGTCCAGCTTCGTTGTTAATGATGTGTCATATATAGCCTGGATACTTGAATTATTGCCAGCTAAATTAATCGACAGGTCCAAGAGTGATATCATTTGCAATGTCAAAATACGGGACAGGGTCAAAATGTGGAAGATTCTCTGAGCAGGGTTGCGTCCCTTGGTCTGTGAAACACTCTTGTGTGTTCGAATATCCGTCCTGAATATGCTTTTAGGTAAACTGGTTTGTAGGCTGGCACTATTTCTTATACATGAAAATCCGACCTAAACACCCAACATAATAACATGAATAATTTGTTTCAGCTACACTGGATGTTTTTCCTTGTGATCAATTGTCGATATGCTGAAGTCTCGAGTCACACCCACTGTGCTTAGGAAGGCTCTGCTTCCTGGAACACAGAGCACATGTCTGAAAGCCACAGTTGCAAGTCCAAGATTTGCGGAAGGCGATGAAGTGCGACCATTCAAGGATATACCAGGGCCACGTGGCAGATATGCAATTCCACACCTTGGGCCAGTGTTTCACATGAAACCCTTCAGTAAGTTCCTGAATAATATGTGTCTTTTTTTTGATTAACATACACGGACGCGCGCGCACACACACACGCACGCACGCACACACACGTCGCCTCTTACGTCAAGCATGGGTTGCTGAAGATCAGTTCTTACACGGATATCCATGGGTTTGCGCTAGGTAATTAGACACTTCTACGAAATCATATACTCCTCACAAAAAAATAAGCAACAAGCATTTTCAGTGTAATACCTTTATCAATCTCGATAGCGATTTTTGCATGTTACTGAAACGTAAATATTCAAAGAATACATAACCTTTAGTGACTGTCAAATTGATTTATCGGATAACATTGGCAACATCGCCCGAACACAACCACCCTCAGAAACAACATGCAAAATGTGTGGCATAAATGTGTTCCCTGATCGGTGTAAACCTACTTGTAACCATTCCTCTGGTACAACAAGCAGATCCTTACTTCATTTTCATTGATGATAATGCCCGCCCATGGATGATAATGCCTGAGAAAGAGTTGTTGACGATGTTGTTTACTGGCCTGCAAGGTCACTTGATCTTAATCCTATTGAACATGCTTGGGTTATTATTGGAAGTCGTGTTTACGGTCTCCATGTTCACCCCAGGCTCATTTGGTCAATGCAAAGGCATGTAGAAGCTTGCATTTGTGCACGTGATGGTCATACACGATACTGAACACTGCTTCACTGTCCAAAACTGACTTGAACCTTAATGTTAACATTTCGCTCCATCAGTGCAGCACATTTTGCACGACTGTTTCACGGGTACATGCTTTGATGATTTGTAAGTCTATTATTGCTCAATACCATTTCATTTTATTTTGTTAATCGTGTGTACATATGTTTCACCTTTCTATTGCATCATGCCATGATTTGCAATTTCAATAAATGAAAAATGTAATAAGACTAAAAATTTGTGTTGCTTAACATATTACCCAAAATGATAATTGAGTGAGTATGGTTTTCCGGTTTTTTTTCTAAATACCACTATCACTAAATATTTTCTAGCAAACTTCACAACGAATTCTTTCCACAAATTGCTGGACACACTACATGACAAGTACGGGAAGATCTTCCGTGTGGAACTCTTCGGACCGAGCATCGTGACAGAGAACCCAGATCATATAGAAACCATCTACAGAAGCGAGGGGAAGTACCCAAAGAGACCCCCACTGAATATGTTTGAGACATACGCCGAACGCAACAACAAAGAACCGGGAATGGCAATGGTGTATGTGCTGTATAAACACTTATAATGTTACTCTGAAGAAACTTTAAATCATGTTTAGCTGTAAAACACATTTTTACAGACTTTTTATCTGAGTTGCGTTCAAATAGTCGAGACAATATAGACATAAACAATACTTTAATTAATTCTGGTTGATTATGTTTTGAGAAATTGTCAGTACAGTCATAAGTTGGAACGGAATTCTTCCTCAGTACAAGTAATATAGAAATGTCATCCTGTCAAGACCAATTCTAACTCGGATGTTCACGGGTTGCAAGCAGTAGAATTATAAACTTGTATAATGCCAACAGAACATTTCTGGTTTCACACATACAGCTGGGACCGTAGTCTCTTATGCCGAGATATATATATATATATCCATATATCAAGAAAGCCAATGCAAGTCGAGAAAATGTGGCAAGTCAAGATTACCACATTTTCTGAAAATGAAAAAGTTTCCGGGCTTCTTTTCATTATTATTATTATTATTATTATTATTTACAGATTAAAGATAGTATGCAGCAGAGAGGGTTCGGGTGATTCTGGCACAGTCAGGCTGGTAAGGCTCATCATCAGCTCAGGGCCCTCGCCCCCCTCTACACGCAGCCCAGACAGCGAATGGGACTTCTCCCAGGAAACGCTGCCTAGTCGAACCCACCAAGAACTTTCCGGAGAATATGAAGGCTCCCCAACACTGCAGCCTTCTGCATTACCCAGAGTGTCAGAAGGGCTGTGCTCCCGGTGGAGAACCCGGGCACTCTCCTGATCTGCGCCAAGAGATCAGGAGGTACCAAACCAAGGGCACCGAGAACAATGGGGAGCCTGACGACAGTGTACTTGGGATGCAAGCGAGACATTTCAAAGGCGAGGTCCGCATATTTATCATGCTTTTCCTGAATCTTGCCAATCACATTGGTGTCAAAAGGGACAGAAACAATTCAATGATATTAATAAATATATTGGCTTTATCAAAAAGGACAAGATCAGGTTTGTTGGCTGGAATTCTTCTGAGGCTGTATATGGGCCTATTCCACAGAAGTTTGAAAGCATCATTTTCCATGACGCCCTGGTCATGTTCAGGGTCGTACCATGGATGGACCTCGAAGTCAAAGCCACAGGCATGGCGGAGACGGTAGTAAAATCAACGAGCCATGCCATCATTTCGTTTAAGATATGATGTTTGTGCCAAGGAAGGGCATCCACTGACAAAGTGTTCGGCAGTCTCTGTAAATTCATTACACAGTCAGCATTTCATGTTAATATTTTCTTTAAGAATCACATTTTGGCGATTACGAGTGGGAAGTGACTGGTCCTGAGCAGCAAAAAGGAAGCCCTCAGTTTCACATTTGAGACCAGCCGACTTCATGGAGGCGAAGGAGTCGGTGGGATTGCTATTCTATTCCACACACTGCATGTACACACGATGCAATGTACAAAAAGTACACAAAAGAATTCTATCATGAAGAGCCTCAACATTAATCAAACCCCAACCTCCAGAATTGATTGGCATATATAAACGGTTGAGAGAGGAACGAGGGTGATGGGCTCTGTTATCAGACATGATCCTTCTGGTCAGGCGGTCAAGACTCTGAATGTCTTGTTTTGTCCAATCAACTACTCCAAAGGAATTGGAGAGGACTGGCACAGCAAAAGTGTTGGTGGCCTTGACCTTGTTTCGAGCATTTAGCTCTGAGCTCCAGATTTTCCTTTAGCGAGATTTGTACTCGGCCCGCAGTTTGTCTTGAATTTGGGCATTCTGGAGCTTGTCTCGAACTTGCATTCCAAGATAGGTGTAGGCCTGATCTTCCACAAGATGCTCAATAACTCCTCTCCCTGTAACTTGACCGATCCACCATTAACTACCTTCTTCAAATGAAGAGTATTGCATTTGTCAAGTACAAATGTCATGCTAATATCATTAGAAAAGGACTCGACAAGGAGAATCTGTTCTTTCAAATTGGTATCTCCTTTAGCAAGGAGCTCGATGTCATCCATGTAAAGAAGATGAGTGAGCGGTGTTGGGGATCTGTGTTGAGGAGGTCCGGGATGGTAACCGTCCACTCTGTTGAGCAGAAAGCTCAAAGGATTTAGGGACAAACAAAAAAGCAAAGGACCGAAGGAGTCCCCCTGGAAAATTTCCCTTCTGATTCGAATAGATCCCGAGTCGTATGCCTTTTTGTAGTCAATCCAGCACATGGAGAGGTTGCGGTGATATGTTTTAGCCTCTTCCAAAATCATTTTCTGTACAAGAAGTTGATCCTTGCACCCCCAACATCCCTTTCTCGTTCCCTAAAATACATATAAATTATATCATTAGCAGAGCAGTATGACGACACGATGTTTGTCAATAATTGAATAATTTGTATTGTGTATTTAAACATGTGATAGGGCGGAAGTTTTGGGGATCAGTCAACTCTCCTTTCTTGGGGAGGAGTATTGTGCGACCTTTGCAGAACCATGGAGGAACATCACCTGTGTCCACGAGAGTATTGAAGCAGTGAAGTAATGGTGTTTGGACACAGGGGAACAGGTTCCAGTACCGGTTTCGAATGCCATCAGGCCCTGGAGCTGTATTAGATTTGGACTTTTTTTATAACACTTCTCAGGCAATCTGGTGAGATGTAACAGACAAACGACCTAGTTTCTTTCTCATGCATTGCATGGTCATAATCACGGACCCATGGTGCCTCCAGGTTACAGTGGCCGGGTACAGACCACAACTGTTTCCAGAACCTTTCATTGGCATCAATCGGAGGCCGCTTATCATGCTCACCATCACCCTTTGTTTTAAGTTGCCTGTAGAAGTGTTTTTCATTATTTCTTAAGAGTTTATTCTGTTTGACGAATTTATTTTGCTATTCCCATTTTTTCTTTCATGCAGTCCATACCTTTATTTTGGCCTTAAGGGAATCGACAATTTGGAGAAGTATTATTTCTTTTGTTGTCTTATACTGTAATTTTAATTTTCTTCATATTGACTTTTGTCGTTTTGACATGGGACTCCCTGGTGATCTTAACTTCAGGCAAAGCTCTATCCAGGAAATGTATTTTCTAGTTTCTGTTAATTTTACTTGAAACCGGTTTTTTTTTGTGTGTACTGTTCTTAGGACTGGATGTGTTTTCTTTGGAAAGGTTTCTGCAAGGTTCGAGCGGCAGCATAGACACAACAATTCACTTCATGTAACGAACAGTCCGCAGAAAGTTTCACAGAAATAATATCATTAAATAAATATTAATTTCATTTTTGGGAAAAGATTCAATTCTTTGTTTAATTATTATTATTATTATGTTTTACAGATTGAAGATAATATGCAGCAGAGAGGGTTCGGGTGATCCTGGCACAGTCAGGCTGGTAAGGATCATCATCAGCTCAGGGCCCTTGCCCCCTCTACACGCAGCCCAGACAGCGAATGGGACTTCTCCCAGGAAACGCTGCCTAGTCGAACCCACCAAGAACTTTCCGGAGAATATGAAGGCTCCCCAACACTGCAGCCTTCTGCATTACCCAGAGTGTCAGAAGAGCTGTACTCCCGGTGGAGAACCCGGGCACTCTCCTGATCTGTGCCAAAAGATCAGGAGGTACCAAACCAAGGGCACCGAGAACAATGGGGAGCCTGACGACAGTGTACTTGGGATGCAAGCGAGACATTTCAAAGGCGAGGTCCGCATATTTATCATGCTTTTCCTTGATCTTGTCAATCACATTCCTGTCAAAAGGGACAGAAAATTCAATGATATATATAAATTCATTGGCTTTATCAAAAAGGACAAGATCAGGTTTGTTAGCTGGAATTCGTCTGAGGCTGTATATGGGCCTATTCCACAGAAGTTTGAAAGCATCATTTTCCATGACGCCCTGGACATGTTCAGGGTCGTACCATGGATGGACCTCGGAGTCAAAGCCACAGGCATGTCGGAGACGGTAGTAAAAGCAGCGAGCCATGCCATCATGTCGTTTAAGATATGCTGTTTGTGCCAAGGAAGGGCATCCACTGACAAGGTGTTGGACAGTCTCTGTGAATTCATTGCAAAGTCGACATTTCATGTTAATATTCTCTTTAAGAATCACATTTAGGCGATTACGAGTGGGAAGTGACTGGTCCTGAGCAGCAAATAGGAAGCCCTCAGTTTCACATTTAAGACCAGCCGACTTCATCCAGGCGAAGGAGTCGGAGGGATTGCTATTCTGTTCCACACACTGCATGTACACACGATGCAATGGCTTCTCAGAAAGCTTCTCCACAAAAGACCGACTCTGGGCAGACTTGGTGAAGGACTTCACCTGGTTTACTCCCATCGCTGTACCGTCCAGCAGTATTATTATTATTATTATTATTATTATTATTATTTAGGAACCGTTTTATTCAATTTAGAGACTAGACGTTAGGTTTTGAGAACACCTATTGTATGACCATTTATACATATGACTTCAATACATGCAGTGAGGAAATATTGACATTAGCATCTATCTTTCTGTTGTTCTGAAATAGGAATGGTACAGAATGGCATCGTCTCCGATCGGCTTCTCAAAAGTATATGTTGAGGCAGGCATCAGCTTCAGTGTACATCAAGGAACAAAGTGAGGTCGCCGACGACCTTATAACAAGGATGTCTACAATGAAATATACACCAGATGAGTTCAGAGATGAGATGTTCAAGTTTGCTACAGAAAGTACGTATTAACTTGTATCATACAATATAAACGGTAACGGGGTATTTCACCCCAAACACGTTCACCCCAGCACAGATTCACCCCAGGCTGTTTCACCCGGGTTTTGTCACCCCAAATAGAGGTTGTTTCACCCCAGCAAATATTTATAATTATTATCAACTATAAAATTGTTTTAATATTTTATTTATCTGTGTGGTGTCGAAACAGTATATGCAGATTGTTTGAATAATTGTATCAGTTCAAATTGACTATGTTGGATCGGGTGAAGTCCTTCAGTGACGATAGCAAGTAGCTGCCTTGGACAGGAATGAACTTGTTGAAAGTTCCTTGTCTGTGTACTGTGTCCAGAGGTTAAGAAGCTATTCGTGGATATTTTTGAATTTCTGCCTATTGTCTCTTGATAGAAGACAATTCTGAACCAGGCGCACTTGGGTTTTCACTTGGTCAGCCTCACTTTTTTATCATAACTATTGCTGCTCGGGCGAATATGAAACAATCTGACTTTAATTATTATTTTTTATGTTTCATTTTGGGGGATTTGATTTCATTTGGAGAAGGCTTGGCCTTACAGCATCATTAGCATTAAAACCAGATATATTACTCTAGTTAGCTTGAGGTGAACTCTTGGCATTATTTGACCAGCTGATGTAAATGATGTTCGAGCAAGTTCTTGAGCCAAGCAGATATCAATCTGAAACAAATGCACGAATTGGGTATTTAAAACGTATCAATTACCAATTGACAAGTTTCACACTGCAGTCCATCTTGACGAGGTCTTTCTCTCTTCTGAGACCTGATGCCCTCTGCGTTGGAGGACGTTATACACTACAGAAGGAAGCCTCATCCATCAGTGAGATTCATGGCAGAAATGTGTGCACCTCGTAGGACAATTGTGACTGGATTAGTGTGTACTTGACAAGGAATATACTAAATTGTACTCTTTGTACGTTCATATACGACGTTTAACGTAACATTTCCATTATTGAGACACGTGTACAGTACTCTGTTCCTTTCAGATTAGTTTACTCTGTGTCATTCATCTTTTTCAAGGTATTGGGGTTGTCGCCTTCAACAAACGACTTGGCTTCATGGATACTAAAGGGGAACCATTATCACCAGACAATATAGTTTACCTGGAGGCAATAAAAACTTTTTTCGAATGCCTGCTGAAGGACGTGGGACCTCCCGTGTACAGGATCGTCCCCACTAAGTTGTACAGAAACTTCGAGAAGGTGGCCAACCAGGCATATGGGTAAATCAGTTTATCACATAACGAGTTACTTTAGGTTTCAGGGAAGTTACAATAAACGGATGCATTAGGTTGATTTGAGGATAAATATGCAAATGTACACAAAACAACTCAATTAAGCACCCCCCTGTACTTTTACAATGATAGTTTTTCAACACGTACATAAAACCTCTCGTGGTGACCACGATTGAAAACCAGAGTTGAATTGCATCGAATCCATGTTGATTTTATAATGATAATTGCTTATTTTAAAACAAAACCAATGATTTTCATACAAAACCATGTCTGCCCTGGAATGTTTAATGTTGACTTTTTTGGTGAATGTGATTCAAAATGTCAAGGTCAATGCCGAGTGTATCCTCCATGTGACTGTTTGACAGCCAGCACTCTGGAAGTAATACTACTGCCCCTGATCGAGATCAGTTTAACAATCCTGTCTGAATTTCAGGTATGGACGTGTACACATAAAGGAAGTTCTGGAAAGAGTGGACCGTCAGATGACTGATGGAACGTTTGACCCTGAGGAGCCCAATCTGATTTTACAGCTACGAGCGAGCCCGAAGACAACCGACAAAAGCGTGGATGCCATTTTGCTAGATCTGTTAACAGGTGGAACAGATTCAGTAAGTATTGCAAGGTTAATGTATTGTAAATTGCGATATATTATTAGTGTCAAATCTTATACGACCATAACAGCTGCCTGAAGGAAACCTAGACGCTTCTGATAACAACATACTGTCCTAGTTTTGTCTTTTACGCCAGTCAAGGGGCGAGGGGCGGTACGGTAGCCCAGTGGTTAAAGTGTTCGCTTTTCTCGCCGAAGACCCGGGTTCGATTCCCCACATGGGCACTTATGTGAAGCCCATTTCTGGTGTCATCTGCTGTGATATTGCTGGAATAATGCTAAAAGCGACGTAAAATTAAACTCACTGTCACTCACTCACTACAAGCCGAGGCCAGATAAGTGTTCTTCAACCGGTTGCGTACGGTTCTGTCTCTTATCAGTACCAACCCATGTATCGATAGAGTGCTTCTTTGATATCAATGCACCAAGTGTATATGGTTGTCTAGTTGATGTGACGACACTCGAACGACCCATGAGTTGCACTGGTGTAGATATCATCGGCAAAGATGGTAAAATAGCTAGGATCGGTTTGTGGCATGTATAGACGATGCTTTCCAGTAAACAGTATTGTGTGCATTATTTAGGGTTAAACAAGTGTTTCATGACCATGTCGTTTTGATCTGTCCAAATTCAACAGATGCAAGCGTGAGCATCAAATCCTGCACTGTGCATGTACAAACTCGTGCAAAATGAGATTCAAAGACATATTTACATTAATATGTAGGAAAGATGTATTGTTTTCCTTAAGAATATATGTATTCCTCTTGAGATTTGCATAAAGCATACTCACCTTCTCCATTAGTATACATCAGATAATCAGGAGTAATTTCAAAACAGATCCAGGTGAATAGTTAGACGAAAGTTACAAGATACAAGTTACAAGAGTTTGTTACCATCTTGACATATCTTTTCAAAGACTGCAAAGAACATGGAAAATTTGCTTCTGAACCTGGCACTGAACCAAGACAAACAACACAACTTGTATAAAGAAATCGTGGACGTTATTGGACCAAAAGGACACGAGCAAAGTGCTGGCCACATGTCCAACATGCCTTACTTCAGAGCATGTATGAAAGAATCATTCAGGTGAGACTTCATTTGTCATATTTGAGAAGCCATCATTCCTACATAAGTTGAGTGAATAAGGTTTTTGTCGCAACTGTTAGCAATATTCCCGCGAACAACACAAGAAATACTCTTCTTACACTGTAGCCAGGATGGGAATTCGGCTTGGCCTCCCCATCGCTTCTCTGTTCATGGTCAAATGACATGAGATAAAATGCATATATATTATTGTTGAATTGAAAAGTATTGCACGAAAATGCGATTTGCATCTTTCGATCTCCGGAAGCCTTTCTGCTGCACAAGACACCGGAATCATTTGTTAATGTGTATAATTTAAATCCAGAATGTCAAGCTGGATTCCGCTCAGGCTATTCAACTGTTGATCATGTTTTTACCTTACAGGCTTTAATTCAAAAATACTTTTCCAAGTCTAAGGGTCGATTGTATTGTTTATATGTTGTTCATAAAGCATTTGATTGTGTAAATAGAGATCTAATGTGGTATGGTCTTTCTCAAAACATATTCGTGGTAAAATGCTCTCAATAGTGCGTTATATGTACATAAAATCAATTTCAGCTGTACAATTGAAGCATTTCATAATATTTCAAGTCCTTGAGTGGTGTACGACAAGGATGAATACGCAGTCCATTATTATTCAGTACGTTTGTAAAACAACTCGAAGAGGATCTTACATCGTCTGACGAAAGAGATATATTTGTTGGAGCAGAATTTTTAGAGCCCTTTTCATTATTCTATGCTGATGATTTGTTTAGTTTCTGACACAGTTATAGGTTTACAAAGAAACATTAATATTTTATCCAGATTTTGCACAAAATGGGTCTTAAAGGTTAATTTTACAAAAACAGAGATAATTGTTTTTTGCAACGGAGGTATATTGAAGAAGACCGAAGTGGATGTTTTAACCATGTAAAGTTGAAAACTACAAGCTATTACAGCTATTTGGGTATTTTATTTTCCAGTAGACTATCTTGGTTAAAAGAAGTCCAGACTCTCGTTCAGAAAGCAAATAAAGCCGGGGTTTTTCATTTAAACAGCTTCATCATAAATGAAAAATCTTTCCCCCACTGTCTTATTTCAAATGTTTGATACACAAATTAAGCCTATCTTATTATATTGCTCAGAAATATGGGGTTTTCAAGAGTGGCTAATTCTAGAAAGATTTCACATGACGTAAAATACTGTTAATATGTTCTTGGTGTTGGTATTACCACAACAAATGCAGCTGTTTTATATGAATGCGGTCCTCATCATGTATGTTGTGATTCTATAATAAGATGTGTTATGTACTAGTGTAAATTATTAATTATGGAAGAGACTAGATATCCAAAACAAATCCATATTATGTTAAACAATGAACAATATTAACCGCAAGTCATTGGTAACTAAAGTGAGGAAATTAATTGATACTTATGGTTTCAGCTATTCGTGGGATTTTCAAAATATTGTTAACACTGATTTATTTTTTATACAGTTTTCTCATTGAGTTAAAGATTGTAACATCCAATGTATATTTTCTATGTTAAGTAAACATTCTAATTTAGAGTTCTTTTCATGTGTCAAAAATGCGTTTAATCTGGATTCATACTTGTCAACATTATATAACAAAGATTTAAGGAGATTTTTATCACTTTTAAGAATCGGTGAATTTAATATTATGAAGAATACAGGTAGGAGAAATAATATCCCAAGAGAATTAAGATTTTGTCCATTTTGTAAGAACGTTTTAGAAGATGAGGTTCATTTAATGTTTATTTGCCCACAATATAATGATTTAAGAACAGGATATATGTTAAAATTGACTGTAAAGAAACTTCGCCTTCTTCAAAATGAAAAGAGCAATTATTTATATATGTATGCAAAATATATTAAGGAAGCGTTTATGCGACGTAGCGCATTGTTATTGTTAATATATAAAAATATGTTCTAGTCATACGGCACATCATTCCTTTTCTATTGTAATATACATTGTACATGGGCATTTAGGCCTTTCTCCTGAATAAAGTCATATATGTTACAGGGAAAGTGTGAAACCAGGGATTTCACGTAATCCCTAAAAGATTCAGTGATTTCGTGAAATCATTGTAACCCCCAGGGATTTTATGTATTCCCTAAAATTTTAAAGGATTTCATGAAATTACTGATTTTCATTGTGTTCCATTACACACATTCCGTGTTAGGATATCAGTGAATGTGTAAAATTATGTTTGTAGCTTAAAACTTTACTGTTGAAGTTCATTGGGTGTTGATATAAGGTTATCAACATTGTGTATCAATATCCCTTTTGTAGTTTCAAAAGTTACAGAGGTTGTTGTTAACGATTTCGCTTAGAATCGAAACTGAAAGAATTTGCTGTTACTGTAAAGATTTTATTGAAGATAAGTGTCGTGTTTTATTGCATTGTCCTTTGTATGCTGATGAGAGATTGCAACTTTTATCTAAATGTACAAGTCTTTTAGATGTTTGGGTTTTTTAAATCTGGGTATATTGAAAAAGTTAATTGATATTTCTAGCTTGTCCATGTGTATTGTTTTTATTCGCCAAAACCTGCCTTAATATTCTTAAAAAGCGTACTGCAAATTTGTATATATCTTCTTAATGTAACTTGTACCCTTTTTATTGCATTTTTAATATTCATATATTATACTCTGTATATTGTGGCACAAGTGTCTCTCATAATTCTGTCCGGAATGGCTCAACATTTTACTGTGAAATAGCATTTAAAAATTTATATATATATCATTTTCAGGAATTATATCACGATTTAAATGGCCACAAATACTTGTTCAGCATCAGAGATCAATACTGAGTTTCTTTGTTTTCAAACAGGGTTCTCTTCCCTGTTACATTCGGTTCTATTAGAGAGCTTCCAGAGGATATCGTACTTGATGGTTACTTGGTGCCAAAAGGGGTTAGTATCTTGGTTAATTTTGTACTATTTTGGTTTTGTTTTGATTTTTTCTTTTTTGTTTGTTCGTGTTGTTTTGTTGGGGTTTTTTATTTGTTTTCTTTGTTTGTTTTCTGTTTGTTTTTGTTGTGGGTGGTTTCTTTTTCTTTGTTTGTTTGGGGGTTTTTTTGGGGGGAGCATGTGGGTGCATTTATTTTAGCATGAACCACTTTGTAACAAACTACGTTTAAAAGGCTGCCAGAACCCCATGTGGGAGACATGAACGTAAGCTTCTTTAAAGATGTGACTGACTGCATTTTCCTGGAGCATGGTAGGTACAAAGCATTAAGTTTGAACATATATCGATGAAGACTGGTATGTTACTTTTTTAACATCTTCAGAAGGTTATAACGTGGTAATCTATTTCCTCCAGCTTTGAGAACATACACGAAATGAACACGAGTAAGATGTGAACATGTGTGTAGGCAATGGCTGTGGCCTCATATATTGTTTCAGACCAATTGCTTCATGAACAACCGCCGTCTTCTCCTCAATAGCGAGTATTTCGAGAACCCCAAACAGTTTCTGCCAGAGCGGTGGCTGAGAGATGACTCCAGTCTGAAAAGGGAAAAGGAATATCCAGCTTTTGCCCTCTTGCCCTTCGGGTTTGGTCTCCGGAACTGCCTGGGAAGACGCTTTGCTGAACAAGAGCTCTGGCTTGGTGTCACAAAAGTAGCTATGGTTTTTGTTCTATTTGCTCCTCACGCCAACTGTGGTTGTTGATAAATATAAGATGTCATTGTACCGAGACCATGCATCAATGGCTATGCTCTTACTTGACTGGTCCATGCTCCACAAGCTACCTCTCCCCCATGAAATACCTCGCTATGGACTATATAAATGACATTTCTTCTGAAAACTTCAGAGATGCCTTTTTCGTCCTTTGTGCATGAATTAACTTCTCAAATATATGCATGATATTAATGAAAACATCATTCTTGATCCAAACAATTCGAGCAATCTTTCTCTTTCAGATTATCCAGAACTTCCACGTTTCAGTACCTATGGATGGGGACTATGAGATGATGTACACAACATTTGGACAAATCAAGAAGCCCATTGATTTCACTTTCACCCCGCGATAATTCTCAGACCTTGTGCCTGTGTTCCGAAGATGCTGTTATTGAAACTACCTTTCTGCGGATATATATTTACAATACAAGAATAGTATTGTAAGGAATAGTATTATAAGCGGTTATAAACCTAGCTTGAACATCACTGTGATTACAACGTTAATCACACACACTACACATTATTTTATCAAGAATGGTATCTTCGAGTGATCAGCTGTAACATATCTTTTAATGCTATATTCCTGATCCATTTGTTCACTAATTGGCTTTTATCCAAAGACATTTTCAGAGACTTCATATTTTCTATGTGTATACCAATTTACGAACAATATGTGTTTGGATGAAGTCGTATAATAAACTTGTTTGTACTAACAGCTGGTTCCTCAATTCCAAATCAAATCGTGCTTTTGCTTAGGCATTATACTACTGATGCTCAGATCCAAAGAACCAATGGTGAGAAATGGTCACAAACGCTTCTACCAGTTTGGTGTAGCTGTTTATTATTATTTGTGTGTGTGTGTGTGTGTGTGTGTGGGGGCAACTGGGGGTCTTATTTTAGTGTTTTTATTTGTTTATTCGTGTAATGTTTTTTTCCTATTTACTATTCCTTTTTATAGGGAATGGGGCGTGTGGTATTTCATTCTATGCTTATTTCAGCGCAAAAATGGTTCTAGCTTTAATTTTGGATATATATTTCATGCCGTATTGAAAAAAGAATTTTCCCAAATAACAATGTACGAAATATCCATTTCTAGTTTGAATCATTTTAGCTGTCATCTAAGGCTTGCAGTTTGCGTACATTCTTTTACCCGTCGGTTCATGTTCAGAATGGTCATGTGTTGTGTTGATGATCGACACAATAGGTATTCCAATCTCCCAACACCTGGTGTTATTACTACTTGCCTGTAGACAGTTCAAACAATTTCACTACCGGTTTGCCATTTAGGCCATGTTTGGCCTATTTCCTCGGACAACTGCAATTGTTCTCTTGTGTTGACGTTGTATCCTTAGCCCCAAGTGTTTATCAAAATGACATTTAGCTATCCTATCCTATCCTATAAAGAATGGAGTAAACGTTTTACGGAAGCTATATATATATATTATTATATTTTGTATTACTATATATATATTGTATTACTGATACAAACATGCGTTATAATTCTAAATACAGAGATTCTGTAGTGAGATTGTTGTTTAGTCAGCGTTCTACGTATGGACGTTATACATATTTTGTTTTACTGTCACTATTGTCTTTACATTAAAAAATGTGCTGAAATAAACATATAAAAATGTTAGTGGAATTCGGTTCACTTTCTACCACAGACGCTCCATGAATCATTTGTCTGTCAAGTGCATTTGTATACTTGATTTACATCTGCGCGAAGATGTAAGGTTTCCAGATATGTAGAGACCGAAAGGCTCGTTAGTCGTTATCGCTGATATACTACTCAAAACAAGTTAAAGCACGGAAGGATGCGTGTGGCAATGCCCATCAGCCATGTTAAAGTGAGTGAGTGAGTGAGTGAGTATGGCCTTACACCGCTTTTAGCAATATTCCAGCAATAACACGGCGGGGGACACCAGAAATGGGCTTCACACATTGTACCCATGTGGGGAATCAAACTCGGGCCTTCGGCGTGAGGTGCCAACGCTTCAACCACTGGGCTACCCCACCGCCCCAGCCATGTTAAATTAACTTCAACCATACCCTGTCATTTAACCACTTATGATCCGTGATGATCCCGATCAGAATGAGGCTTCAGCAACCCATGCTTGTAAGAGGCGACCAAGAGGAGTTCGGTCAATTTAATCTTACATCACCCGTTAAGGTCACAGCATCGATCAGAAATACTTAACACAGTGGCGCTGAACCTGGCTCCATCGCATAATCGTTCACGTCAACGTCTGCAACACATAGACGTGCACTACATCGTGTTCCCGCACATGCAAGCTCCTGTTAGAAAGGTTGCACGATGACGCACGTATGATTTCATCAAGGATAACGATATGTTTAACGCTTTTGTATTTCCACTTCCAGAACATCTTGAAAATGCGTTTAATCTGTACACTCTCGGAATACACGTTGCTTCCATCTACACTTATTCTGGCATTTTGTTTCGCTGCTAGAGACACCGTGGCAACCTGTAACACCTACAAGAAGGAAGGGGCATAATAAACATGTTGCATTACTTCAGTGAGAGAGTGACTGAGTTCAGTTTTACGCCGCTTTTTGCAATATTCCGACAATAGCACGGCGGGGGACACCAGAAATGGGCTTCATGCATTGTATCCATGTGGGGAATCGAACCCGGCCTTTTGGTGCGACGGGCGAACGCTTTAATAACTACTGTGCTGGCCCATTATTTCAGATTTAACTCAGTAGACGTCGTCCGTGGAGAGGCGTGGGGGTCGCCAAGTGGTTACAGCGTTCGATCGTAAGACCCATGCTCGATTCCATACGGTAGAATTAGTTAACCAATTTCTCGTGTTCTCCACCGTGACATGGCTAGGATGTTGCTAGAAACTGCACTCAACTGCACTCACTCTTCCGAAGAAAATACCAATTCATTTGTGTATTATCATCCCATACTCAATAGCAAATGTCCGAGTAACGAATTCCTTAGCCTTTAGATTTTTTTGGTGGTTTTTGTGAGAATTCCACTGAATCTTTATCGTCCGTTTTTCTTGTCTTTCTGCCGCGGTATGGGAAATCGTTTCGACATGACTTATCGCAGACGAACGCTGTCCGATTGTCGAAGGGACATAACTCTTGTAGGCCTAACAACAATGTTTTAAGGGACTTCATATTTCAAATAATATCACTGTTTGAGATGTATCTTTAGGCCCAGTCTATTTCCACTTCACAGATACGAAAACTGGCATATTCTGAAAAAATGCTATAAAAACATGTCGTGATAATAATAGTTGAATTCTCCAAGTCAGTTGGTTTTCCATGTCAAAGGTGATAAACCGTCATGTTCGTCCATACCCCGTCCGTTGTAACAGGGTAAGATGGAATCACACAACCACGTGAAACTTTAGGATACGGTTTCATTAGACTAACACTCAGTCCCTGTTTTATATTTCTACATATTATCTGTCAAGCTCAAGCAGTTTGGTTTTGCTATGTTCCAGTCTCACGATCCCCATTTTGTTTGACCTTTTAACTTGTTACCCTAAAAACCTCGCAAAATCTACAATAAATGCATCAAAAACTCCAGGAAACAAAATATGCAAGAAATATTTTGTGTGTTTGAGATTAGTAGACGTCCCTAGAATCACACTTAGATATTAAAGTACATAAAAAAGCAATTTGAAATTTCAATCGCTTGTTAAATTGACTCCCCGCTTCATGTTGACTGAAAGAGCATGTTTTGGAGAGACTTCCCATGTCCCTTTCAGATGACGTTATCATAAGGGCATAGCTTATTCTAATGTTTTCCCTTATGCATACATGGTGCCAAGGGTTCAAACTAAATACTGAATGGTCACATAAGTGTCAGCTCACAATATATTGTAAACAGTGCCAGCTTGAATATCTGAACACAATGTTTTGAAAGATTAAAATGGGGTGTCCTTAAAAAATATCCACCGACTAAATATAAATCAGGCAATCCAAATGTTTGACTTGATCATGACGGGAAGTCATCCAATACTATACTGAACATATTTTATTATCTGAGGGCATACCATTATCCAAGAGGTACCAAAAGAGAAATGGTTTTTCATTTTCTGCAATTTTGTTAGAAATATTATACCCCAATGTCTTGTGATGACAAATATCTGGTTAACCACATTACCCACACATGTGAAATGTTGGATATGGCTTTGCTAACGATTCCTTCAAAATAAAATGGAAGCTTTTCAAACATTGGACATCGAGAATATAAT